TTCTCAAAAGCTATTAAGCAGGTACCACTGTGCCTGGGAATCCGTTCTTCCGTGTACTGAGTCCAAGCAGGTTAAAGTATCAGCACAGAGTTTTCAATAATTCTTTCTCTGCACCAACAAGAAGAGATAAAGAAATTTATACCAGCTATTAATCTAGCCCTTTATCCATGCTCTGCCAAAATGTCAAAAGAAATCAGTATATTGAGAAGAACTGTCACAGCAAATAAAACCAGATTCTTGCCTGGATCTAGGAAGGAATATTCTATACAGGGATGATGACATCTGTATCTAAAGATGATACCAGTATTTTTCATGTCTAGACTACACAACATTCACTAAATTACTTGAAGAAATTTTACACTGCTTTATTCTCCCAGTAGCTCCTCTCTTCCCTCTACATGCCTTCATACTTTCCTGATTAATATTTACAAGTCTGTCTCTACATTGTTATTCTTAGAAATAACATCTAAACATTGCCTGACAAGCATGCCTCCTAAAAGATCAGAATGAAGATTGCATGACCCTAGTCCATGGATGAAGCTCATCTGTGTTATCAAGACATCATGTAATGGAATACATAAAAAATAAAATCAAGTGAGCCATCAACACACTGAAAACCAATCAAACTGACCCTTATCACACCCTATACATTGCTTCATCTGCATTTCAGCTTCTCAATAAACCCAGCCTTGCAGAAAGAATGCTCTGTGATTGTCTGCCAGTGTTTTGTGTATCTGACAAGCGGTAGATTTTAATAATATTTTGGATGAAAGTCCTTCAAAAAACAGAATTTTCACGTGTCTGCCTATGAATCAGATGTCCATTCTGCACGCACATGGAAACCAGCTGGCTTTCCACAGGGCTCTACTGAGGGCCAAATCCATAAACAGTAAACACAGGTGGCCAGGCTGACCTACATCAGCGTTTCTGGTGTGCCTAACAGTTTTCAATGCATTCAGCACAGGAATTTCAATGGTGAGCTGCAGGAAGAGCAGTAATTCTTCAGCAGTAACAACAGCAAGCAAGATGTGCAGGGACAGATGCTCTACTATGGTACCAAAGGAAAAGAGGCTGCATTCAAGCGTCTTCCCTATGCTGAGCCTTTCAAAACAGAGAAACTCCTTGCACAAGGACACTTTCTTCTTCAGTGAAATACAATGTTTCTGAGAAGATCAGGATCTACACTCCCTTCTGCCCTTTGTTTTACATGCTTGGATGGCCAGATTTTTAGAACTGGTCAACCAAATTCCAGAGTAGTTTATCAGTCACTTAACAAGCTGTAATACCTTGACTGCATACCAAGGTCAAATATTTCTGCAGTGCTGCTTTTATAAGGCCTTGTCAACATTTTAAATAAGATAACATTCTTATCTCTGTATCCAAGATATTTTGCAACTTCATCCCATCTATCACACCTAGCATATATTTTTAATAGATCACATTTAGAAGCAGTCTGCATACCTCCCATCAAGATGTTTTCTATCCTCCTTTTTTTTTACCACCATATTATCTTTAAATTTTTCTGTTTGGCACCTCTAGCATAAATGAAATTACGAAACAGGAACCACCCCAGAATTCTGCAGCAATGTTTAAGGATGTTATAATCAGCTTCATAAAAAAGGTAGGCTGCAAGACTCATTAATCCAGGCTACTTGCTTTTACCATGTATAGTCATACAAGTGGCACAGACTGAGTTTTGTCCTGCCTCTTAAAAAAAAATAAACAAAATAACAATCTAAAACTGTTTCAATTGATCTTCCTTCCTCTAGTCCTAGCGAGCTGATATTTATATTTTCCGTAACACAGAAGACAAAAGCTGCACTGCCCTGCACATGAATGGCTCTTGGGCCCCGCCTGATACACTATTCTTAGCAGCTGATGTCAGTAATCCCACATGTGAAAAAACCCACATTCAGGTTTCAGAGAATGTGCATCTTCTGCTGACTGCCTGCAGATGTTGCTTTGAAAAGCTGAGCACTGAAACAATGGAAGGCACAGAAAAAGGGTGCTCTGGTACAGGTATGTGACACTATTTCATTTACTGATCTGCCCAGGAAATAGGTATCTTTCTGTAAAATTCTTGGCTAGATGTTACAATTGGCTGCATAGAGATAAGTCTTTACCTGGGAAGCATCACGAGAGCTACATCACAGTCTTGCTTCATCTTACCTCAACTTCTGGAACTGTTTTATTGAATCAGTTAATGCAATTTCCTATCACATATTTAGGTCTTGAAATTAGGCCTTGAAATTCTTCTCACACAACCACAGGATAGTCAAGAATGGCAAGGTTGGTAAGGAAGACTCATACATTTCATTAGCATCTAATGGAGGGGAAAAGGGAAGAGGGACAACACTTTTGGTCTGACATCACAAGCCTTCCTTGAGGCTGACCCAAGAAGCATCACGATTGATTAACTAATCTGAATCTAACTTTCAGTTGTCAAGGTTGCAAGACCTGTTTCCATGGGACAGAAAACAGCCAAATGCCTTCACATATGTTCAGCTGATGCTTTAAAGCCTAAAACCTGGGAGATGCAACAGGACAGATTGCACTGCTGAGTTTGTCATGGCTTGCCTGCATAGCCTCACAAGCTCACAAGGGGTTTTTTTTTGCTCTAGCAAACAAATGCTGTAGCTGTTTCTTTCTGCTACAACCCAGATAGTTAATCCCTGTGACCAGGTTCAGGAGGCATATGTAGAAATTTCAGCCCTAAACTACAAGGAATCATCTGCCAACAGAAATCTCTGCACTTCGCTGGTCAGTAAAAGCTCACTTTACCAGCATGGATAGCTGCAGCCTGGCAATATGCTGAAGCATAACTGCAGTTACTGTAGTTCTTCAAAAAGCTTGGTGTTTACAACAGTTTTTGGCTTTCCTAAGTCAGGTCTGTCTCAACTAGCTTCCTTCTTCTGTTGGTCACTAGGACTGGATGTACAGCACGGCATCAGTGAAATGACAGCACAACAACTCCCTACTGATTAAAATACACTTCCATTGTGAATTAATACTCTCTCCATGAAATCCACAGATGCTGCTGGAGGAGCAGTCACCTATGCATTACAAAACAGTGAAGTCTTCCAGTGCAGAGCAGCAACAGCCCCCGTACATAACCTCTGCCACCACGCATTGGAAAGCTGCTACTGAACAGTAGCTGCTGCTTCCACATCACATACTGATTGCAAAAGGGACAGGAAGGGCCATAAATCCCCCTGATTTATTACTGCACACTTGCTTCTCAATCAAATTGAAGCAAAGTAAAGCAAGAAGTAGGGCTACTCCACTTAACAAGCAACTTCAAAGGAAGTGCACCAAAAAATCAAAATCACTTGCAATGACAGAAAGCCAGCACTGTCCTACAAAACACACAAAGTATGAGGGTATCTTAAAGAATTTATATGTGAAAATATTTTAAACTAGAATTGTTTCACTATTGTCACCAGTAGGAGAACTGGGTATTCTTTACAATTTACAAAAATCAGTATCAAACACTGTTAAAAACTCCTGACATATTTGTACACTATCCTACCCTTAAACTGATCAATGCATTGCCTTTGGCTACTTTCTTGGCCAGCAGCCAGCTAGTAAAAGTAGTGACCTTAGATCACCTTTGTTCCAGAAGGCTACAAAATCACACTCATCATAGCTTTCCCTGTAGTCACTGCTGTGTAATGAATATTTACATCGAGTTTAAAGTTATAGTACTCAACAAGAATATGGAAGTAGTTGTGCCAGCCACTCTCACCCCATTACAGTTATCCACATTCTGAAGTAGCTCCGTTTTTGCAGAACAGAAGCAAACACATGCAGGTGTGACTACACATACACATAAAAGGCGTAACATTAAACGCCGCCTGGGAAAGTGTTCCATATTAATCTTGAAAATAAAGATTGCCAAAAATCTACTTTGCTTTTGCTGTACTTACTGCTGCCTTGTGACAGCAAGCTACTGCACTGTCTATCCAGTGCTGAGGCTGCTAATGAAGCACACATGTCAAGACTTGCCTTACTGAAGCATAAAACATCTCCTCTGCCGAGTCCCTCCCTCGCCTGTGGTTTGTGTCTCTGTGTACACACACACGTGCTCGCTTGCTCTCTCTCCCTCTCTGTCCTATCTTCTCCCTGGAGCATCATACCAGTAACAGGAACATGCTGTGCAGAACTGAGCTTCGGTTTGAACACCAAGAAAATCCACTTCCCACTACTAAATCAATGCCAGATAGTCTTTGCAATGAGAAGAGCCTATCCAAAACAGTGTTGAGAGGAGGTGTAAAGTGACTGGAGGAGTAAGCCAAGCTTAGTAAAGCATCCACATGCTGCTTGAAGTGGGAAGACTGAAGTGAAAGTCAGCCTTGATAAGACTGGAAAAGACAGCTCTGCATGCGGGTGTGCAGTCTGTAACTGTGTGAATCCACAGTGTTAGAAGTACAGCAGTGCTTCCCGTGTATGTGCTCTCCTGCTGTAGTGACAGGTCCTGAACCTACTGATTCTGAGGCATTGACCAAGTTGAACTGGCCCCCAGGGATTTAAGACACAGTTAGGACATTCTGAGAAGCCCAATTGTGACAGATGCTGCAACACTACAGGGATTTTAAATATATCTGGGATGGGAAGTTGGAGCGAAGAGCAGGGATGGTAAGGTATCCAGGCAGAGAAGCTGTATCATTATAATGCACTGGTCTTGCTTCATGGCTTTAAACCATGGGTGAACAGGATCCTTCCACTCCCCAGAGACAGTCCTGCCAGCCGGTGCCAGGCTGGGCTGCTCACCCAGACCCCGCTCACCGACACGCTCCTGACTGCACAGCCCTGACACCGCCCTTGGTCAGGCTGAGCACCACTGTGTCTTCCAGTCATTCACCCAATGGCCCTGGGTCCTCCTCCTCCTCCTCCCGATGCCTTTCCCAGCTGTGCCGGTAGCTGGCATCCAGCCGCGGATAGAGGGTGGGCGGGAGCGCAGAGCACCCCCCCAAATCTCCGCGGCGGCTCTGCGTCCTTACCGTCTCTGGCTCATTCTCAAACACCTCCCGGGCCTCCTCCTTGCTGCAGTGCTCCTCCACGCACTCCCTCTCCAGGTGTCCTTGCTTGGTCTCCTCGAAGATCTGGAAGGCTCGCCGCTGCCTCTGCCGCAGGAACTGGGCAGCTTCCGGGGCTCGCAGCAGCACGGCTGGGCAGCCGAGGGGGAGGCCAGGAGCAGGACGAGGAGGAGGAGAGGAGCAGGAGGAAGGGCAGGCAGCGGTGAACAGCTGAGCCCGCCTGGTCGCCCCGNCCTGCCCGGCCGGCCCTGCCGAGCGGAGGGGGCGGTCACCGGGAGCCGGGCCGATGGGCGGCCAGATGGACGTGGGGAGCGGGCGGGGAGACTGCGCCCTCACCTCCAGGCACATCTCTTTAATAGCTCCGGGGCTCGTGGCTAGGAAGGGAGAAGCTGGCACCAAACCAAACCGAGTCCTGCCGTAAATTAGGAACTTGGGTTCTCCCCACACACCAACACAGGTTTCCGTCAGAAATGCTTTTTCAGTTTGTTCCAGCATTTTAGGATGAGCTCCCCAGGAAATGTCGTTTATTACCAATATGTTGCAAGCCATGCTTTACTGTCCTTTGTCCATCTGTAGTTACACAGGACACTTTCCACTGTGGAAAACCCTGTTGGCTGTAACCTAGAGCTGTAGGGTCAGAGCTCAGAGCTACACTTAGGGTATCAATGCCACTGCTTTAAAGCCACCCCTTTTATCTGTACTGCTCTGTCGAAGGGTCAATGTGACCGATAGCTCCAGTAACATCGTATCTGTACATTCTTCAAGAAAACTTCACTGACATAACTTGTTTCAGAAAAAGAACTTCTCTAGTTTAACTTTGTTATTTAGGTATATCTAATACAGACTTTGTGTCTCCACAATAATTACTGCAAATATAACAATTGTAAACAATGGATTCATATCAGATGTAGTTGAAGTAAAGTAGGTGAAAACAGAAGAGCCAGCCTCATTCAAAGCAACTGTCCCTAGGCTGGTATCTTCTGTCTGACAACAGCCAATAGTAGAGATACAGGTAAAAGATAAAAAAAAACCACCAACATATAAACCACCATTTGCTGGCCTTTTCTTTCTGTTTTCAGCTTGTGAAGTGCAGAGGAAAAACTCTCAGGTGAAAACTATATCCATTGCAACCCTAACAGCCAGAAATGTACCACTTCTCTATGACTTTGTCAAATAGCTTTTTGATCTCTTGGTACCCCTGGCCGCCAGGAGTGGTGGGAGGGTCTCAAATTTGCACAAAGGCTAGACAGGAACTTTTTCTCACTAGTTTTAAATCCAGTGCTTAATAATTTTACAGGGTACTTGAATTTTTGTCATCTGAGGAATAGTGAATGATCATGTCCTATTTGTTTTCACTGTAACGGTTTATAGACCTCTCTCATTTTTGAGATTTCTGAACCATCCTTTTTCCTGAACTATGGAGCTTTGGTCTCTTACTTGTTTCCAAACCCTTTTGAACTGGTATTGCTCAAAGGAGCAGCACTTCCAGTCCCTGTTGCTTTTTCCTGTCCTTTGGCACATCCATTTTTTGTGCTAGCATGCCACAAACCCAATCAGAATAATCCAAGAGAAATTAATTTTGTTTCAGATCAGCTCCCCCACTGAGCTGCTGAACAGCTGCACAAACACCAAAATGGAGAGGCTTTCAGGGGTGACAGCAAGTAGCTGCAGGCAAAGGAGGTTGGGCCTAATTTCATCAGCAAAGCTGGCCAAAATGGTTGCTGCAGCTAGAGCTGAAGGTAGCCTAGGACTGGCTGCCACTTTGTGTCCCTCTGCCCACATCCCCAGATGTGGCTGTGACATTTCAGCTCAGTCACCTGGCAGGTGACTTTTTTTTTGGCGTATGTGTATTTTCTACCACGTTACTGTGCTGAACCAGCTCAGTGGCAGCATGAAGTGTGGAGTGGGATTGCAGCAGTAAATCCATAGTCTGTTCTGGGATTGCAGCCTGAGCCTCTCAAACAGAAGCCATTCCCCATCTTTTCATCCTGCCCTGTATGTTTTCTATTTATACTTCTTTTCAGACAATGTGGGCAAAACTACAAGCAATATTCAAGATATTATTTTATAGCAATAGTGTCCTGCTTCTTTCTTCTGGTTTTTTCCTTACAATTTTCAAACATTGCATGGGTCACTTCTTGACCTCTTCTTTCCAAAGAGCCATGAACAAGAGATCTGAGATCTCTTTCCTGAGTGGAAAACACTTTACTGAGTGATGATTTACCAGTGAAGATGAGGGTAGTCTTTCATGGGTGTGTCACTTTGTGTGTCTGTATATTAAATTTCGCTTGTCATTTATTACCCTGTCACATTAAGATGGTACCAAGTGATAGAGCCAAGCCAACTGAACAGCTTTTTGCTGCCAAAACAGGTTGTCCCACTCTACCCTCTCTCTATGCTTCCACCTCATCCCTGGATGCACAATCTTTGTACACTTTTGTCACTGATGTGACCTCTCTGCAAGTCAATTCAGCTCACTAAGCCAAGATAAAAGTTGGGTTTTCTTGCTAAAAGTCTTTTGATATTCTTGATTACCAGTTAAAGATTTGTCTGTTCAGATGAATTTTGTATTATCTGCCAACTGACCTCATGGCATTAAGCTTCTCCATAAAATTTCTGAAGATGTTGAACAGCAGAGATTTTTGTGGGTTCTGGAAACTGCATTATATTGTGTAATCTAATGATGAGTTTTCTTTCAGATGTGTTTTCATCCTTTTCTGTTTATCCCATATGATCACACTTTGAGAGCACATGGTAAAAGACCAGCTCAATTTTTATTTTTTTTTTTAAATCCGAATATCTACTATTATCAGAACCATCCTTATCTAAATAAATATCACTCCTTGACTCTCAAATAGGTTTGCAAAACAAGACATCCCTCTTGGTATGCAATGCTGATTCTTCTCCAACATATCATTCAGTTCACCAGTTCTATTCTTTATTATGTTTTCCAGCAAGTTACTTGGCAGAAACATCAAACACTGATTTTGGTGAGCTCACAAGTCTTTTCAATAGTTGTATTTTCCACCTTCCATTCTTCTGGCATGGTAGCATTTCAGGCAGATTTAAGCAATGAACTGAATAAAGCAACAGTTTAATTTTCTTCAGAATTCATGTTGTGTGGTTTTTTTTTGTTGTTGTTATCTGGTCTCAGCTGTCCCGGTAATATCTTAGGGAACATGAAAAACAGGATAGAGAAATAATGCTGAAAATATTAAAACAATTTTGTACTTTCAGCATGTCCCATTGTAGTCTCTCTTCTGATTTTAGAGTAAGCTAGACACAGAGGTTTCCAAACATAAATATGAACCTGTAGGATTAGTTTCCAGTGGTTTTTAGATACTAACTAGAAATATGTGCCAAATTTAACAAGTTTTGAGAGAAGTGACTAAAAATACAACTAGAAGGTGTTTGTTAAGAACCAAAAAATCTAAAAGTGATTCATTGGTTACCAGACCTTGAGACACTTACTCCAAATTCCAATTAATGTCCTTTGATTTCTTTTCCTAAATTAATCCCAACAGAAACCAGTGTGTAGTGTGTAGCCAAGCTGCACAGATGCAGCAGAAGGTTTAACTGAGCAAAGATCCTTTAGGTTCCTGTAACTAACTAAATTTGTAATTTGTCACCAAACTGCAGAATGAAATATAGGTATATAGTATATAGGTATATAAGTGTACCAGGTGTATAAGTATATTGGTATATAAGTATATAGGCCTCACAAATTTGGAGTTGCAGAAGGACAATGAAGCAGGTAAAGGAGCACAAATCATATGAGGAGCTACTGAGGGGGCTGGGGTTGCTTAACTTGGAGTAAAAAGGGCTCAGGGGGCACCTACAACCACAACTACCTGAAAGGAGGCTGCAGTGAGGTGGAGGTCAGTCTCTTCTCACAGCTAACAAAACATACAACAAGAAGAAATGGCCTCAAGTTGTGCCAGGGGAAGTTTAGATTGGATATTGGGAAAAATTTCTTCACTGTAAGAACGGTCTGGCATTGGCACAGGCTGCCCAGGGGAATAGCAGAATCATCATCCCTGAAAGTGTTCAAAAAAATGTGTGGGTGTGGTGCTTGGGGACATGGTTAATGGTAGACTTGGAAGTGCTGGGTTACCAGGATCTGATGATCTTAGAGTTTTTTCCCAATCTAAACAATTCTATGATTCCACATATTCATTGAGGACAGTTGAAGGGAAGCCTGCCCTTCCTTCCTTCCATCAGTCCTCTAGCCAGGGACACTATGAGGTGCGCTGTTCTTGACTTCTGCTCATCTGTGCAAAGTACTTTTTTGACCTCAAGGTGAAACTGGTTAGACATGTCCTATGAGTTGTCCCACACTGCCAAAGTATCTCAGGTTTTAGAGTAAGTGACTGTTTCACATGCTCATTCCACATTCATTTCCTGTTATTTTTCCTTTGAAAGTATTCCTAAGATGTCATTTCTATTTTTTTTTTTTTATTTTTTTTTTTGTATTCTATGAGTAGGGAGAAGGCTATAAGATTGCATCAGAATATTAGGAAATCAAATGATTGTAGAAGGCAACATACCATGATCCTTGACCTCAATGCAGTACAGGCTGGCCATATGCCAAATATACTCAGCACATTAAGATTTGGAACTTGCTGCTTAGTGTCAACTATAATTCATGGGCTGATGCTAGGAAATAAACTGGAAGTTTCAAGGACGAGGAAGTTCTGAACTGTCATCTTGTTCTCTCCATGCCTGTCTTGGTTCCAGGTGAATGAGATTTCCTTTCATTACAGGCTAAAATGGTGCCTGAAAATGGCTTTCTAGGTACTAGCAAAACCAAATTGCTTATCTGGGCAGTGGCACACCATCTGCAGCAAGCAAGACAACAAGCAAACTCCTGGGCAGAATGCACCACTGCCATCCACGGGTGAACTCTCAGACTAAATGGCACCAACCAACAGCACCAGACCTCCTGCCACAGCCCACAGGACATCACAGCTCCTGCTTTATTACATACCTCTGCAGGACATTGAAGGGTTGAGGTGGGGATGCAGGACCAGAGGGTCTGTTGTCTGTGCAGTCTGGGTCATCACTAAGCACTTGGTGGCAGGAAGCCCAGTGGGGCTGTTGTATTTATCATGACAAGATGCTGTGGAGAAGAAGAAACTAGAAGAGAATCTTCCATAACTGACTCTGCTTTTTGCTTCTTGCTCCCTTTGAAAAGAATAGCTTTGCTTTTCTCTGTTTTTAAAGCAGCCTCTGTACCTCTGGGATCCAAGCATTAGATTGTGAAGTTGACTGCATTGTGGAGGAAGCCCTGCTCCTTTTATCCCACTCCTGCCTTTGCATGTCTGTTATCCAGTGGAATTCAGTTAAATTCAGTTGTAACAGATTTCTTGCTTGATGATTAAGTGCCCATTGCACCATCACTAAACGTTTCTCTAGTGTCTCCTTATGTTGCCATTTTGCATTAGAATTTTGTAGAGGTTTAAGTTATCTTGATTCTCACCCACATGTGATAAGGCAAAAAAGGGAGCTCACAAACTCGAACTACTGTGGGCAGACAGACCACAGAGAACTCTAGAATACCCCTGACAAGCAATTTACATCAAAAAAGTAGAACCCCAGATATCCTACTGTCTACACACACACAAACACACACACACAGGAGTCTTGATTGCATGGAAAAATCACACAAAAATTCCTTACCTAAACATTTTGAAGACCTGAGAATTTCTAATTTTGTTTCACTCAAAGATGAAAAAGCTCCTGTAGCAGTGTGTGCAGCTTGTCCAGGTGGACCTCAGTTAATTAGACAAAGTATGGGTTCCCACACCAAAAATTTGAGATTCCTTCTTGCCATCATCAGGATTTGAACACAGACTGCAAGACAGGAACCTTTAATAGTACCAATGCAACCCCTGCTGCTTGGGAAATCTGTTTGGTTCATCCATCTGGACCCTCTCCTAATGTGCCTCTGCCACAGATGAGCTGGAGCTTTTTTGCACAGCCTGCACTTTCCATTCTAAAAATTCAACAGAGTTTTGAACATGTCAGCTTCATTTAATGCCTGGCTGTAAAGTGAGTCAAAATAAATTAAAACTGTAAAGTATTTGTGATGATGGGAATTGAAAGTTGGAAGGTAACAAAAACGGGATGTGAGCCTTCCAAGAACATTTCCAGGCACTCAGCATGGTGCTGGGTAGTCATGCAGCTCTACTGAAGGACATTACTAACACATATGTGAAACCTCATTCAAAGACACACATTGATGTAGAATGGAGGTGGTGATGAAAAAGAGTGTCAGAAGGATGAGAAACTGCAACTAAAAGCTATTAGAAGCCGTACTTAGATTCAGGGATAAATATGAACAACTACTTTCTCCTCTTCCAAATATAAGTCCTTCTTGGAGCCACAACAAATATGTGTCTTAGTTTAGATCAGGCTAATATTTTTGTGTGAGAATGTGAAATTTCATTCAGAGGTCTTTAATAATGTCAATGGCATAAAACTCCTCTTCTCTGGTGTGTTCAAGTTAAACATTTTCTAATAAAAACAATAACAGAAAAGGTGCCCTTATACTGCACAATTCTTTTGAGTGATTAGCATATATTAACTCAAGAAGAAAAGGGTTAACTTTCAAACATGCTTAATTCTAGTGATGATGAAATGGATGAGAAGAATAAGTAAATGTAGATTAGAGACAGAAACAAAGACTTGGGTAAAAAATGGAGCTGTATGCATGGAGAAAAATGTAGAAGAAAGGTTGTTCATCTTTCATACATGTCATTTACTCAAAAAGAAATTTCATAAAAGGCTCTGTAATTAATGTCTCTCTTCAATAAGGGATCCAAACTCTATTTTTTGACAGTGATGCATTATGATGGAGGGAGAAGGAGAAAAGCTTCTTTTCCTACAGGTGCTAGTCAAGCCTGTGTTTATCTGCTGAATTGAAGGACCAGAGGAATAACCTTTGCAAGGGACCAATTTCTCTTCAGGGTCATCAGCTTTCCTCCTGGATGCTCTGCAGCTGAGACAACTAAATCTTGCTTTGAAGCATTGCACCAACATGCATGCTTATGTTTCTTCTTCTGTTTTCTCTGATGTCCTTAGTCCAGTGGAGGTGTGCTGATTTAAAACAAGCACACCCTGATGGTGAAGAAATTATCGTGACCTGCGAGATTGTCGGGAAAGGGTTGAGAGGAAATGCAGAGTCAGCAGATAGAACCCAGTTCTGACTTACACTGAGGACAAGAGTTCAAGAAACCTGAATCCCAAACCAGACTCTGAGCAGGAATGAACTTTTGAGTGGTGTAAGTGGTTTCAAAAACATTGCTGGTGGATGGGATTTGTGTTTTATTATTGGTGTATCAATGTACTGTGAGGTCATCATGGCTTCCTTTCTTAAGCATTCCACGTGCGCTTGTGTCCTAGGGAATTTTTAGTTGCTTGAATAAAGCCTAAAATAAATATAAATAAATTCAAGGGTGACAGGAGGAGGAGAAGAATATTGCAGAAAAACTGTAAGAACAAATATAAGCCCTCATAATGTGTTCTATCCTACAGAACCTCACTAGGAATGATATAAACACCACAATGGCAAGTGGAGCTGCTGAGACATTCCTTGAGTTGGAGCTGTCTCTGCAAGGCAGGAGACAGAGTACTGATACCCATTGCTGCCTTTCAAAAGGGCTTCTTAGCAGAAGACCATGATGTGTTCTTTATCATTCTCATTAACTCAAAGTAATAATCCCCATAGCTTAAAAAATTATTTGTGCATTGAAAAAACAATTAGCTTATTTCAAGTCAATGGCTAAACTCCCAGCTGTATAACACAATATAATGTGACAGTGAGAGGCAAAAACAGAGTTTTAATGAAATGTAGCTCTTGCCAATGCTTTGAGCTCTTAGAGGGAACTCTGTTCTGAAGCAGCCTCCATGCATCAGTCGGGGTTTGGAAGAAGGGAGAAGAGCTGTCACTGTAGAGCAGCTCTCAAACCCTGATCCCTGGGGCAAGCTACTGATGGTTGGGAAGAGTTGCCTGGTTACAAGGAGCTGCCGCCTTCTCATTTCCAGCTGTTAAACTGCATTGGAAGGAGCTGAATAATACCAGAATAGAAACCTAGCTTATAATTTGTGGTTTAATGTAAAAAATTTTAAAAATAAAAATTAAATGAAAAAAAAAAAACAAACCAGGAGACATTTTATGGCATCCCTAAATTGTTTAGGACATGAGTCTTTGCAGCAGAGTTCTAGCAGGTCCATGCTGCAAAATGGAAACAGAGATTTCTGTAATCTTTTATTGATCAGCTTCCTGTTCCAACAAGATTTGCCAGTGGAGTGCTGTAACCTCTATTGTGTGTAAAGGATGGGGAAAAGGTAATAGCAGAGGGGATTTTAACAGAGCAGCACAAGAAATAGACATAACCAAGAAAACAAAAACTCTTTTTCTAGAAAGTGTATGCAAATATATGTATTAAAATATCAACATTTATATTTCATTTTTGAATGGAAAATTCAATATCTAATGTGCTGATTTCTTCATGCAAATGGAAATGTGTAAATTTACCTATAGGTGGTAATAATAATAATAATAATAATAATAATAATAATAATAATAATAATAACAACAACAATAATAATAATAATAACAACAATGGACGGAGTTTAATTCTAAAATGGGTGTTCTGCTTTCTTTTCTGGAATGGAAAGTCTAGCTGACCAGTTTGAGAGGGACTGAGATGTGAATGAGACCTGTTAATTTCTCTGTGAGAGACAAAGAAAAATGGAAGTGTGGGTCAGGCCAGAGCAGAGGGTTATCCCACCAGAAGATATCATCATTGAGAGAAGGAGTTTCCAGATATGTTGTTGGGCAACCTGTAGTGACCACCATGAAGTTTCCATCTTCAAAAGCTGGAAGTAAGGAAAATTCCTGCAAAAACCCAAAGCAGCAAATGAGCAGGAGGTGTGAGCCATCCTCTGAAGTCCTGGGAACAAAAGGTGGCACTGATGTGGGCTTTGGCAGGGAAGGCAGTCATGGGGCCTGCTTATGTTCTTTCAAAGGGTTGTAAGCAACAGAAAGAAAGTATCAGCTTTGGTTGAAATTTAAAAAATCATAGTTCAATGTTCTGCTTTTGGCTGGGGTAGAGTTAATTTCCTTTATAGGAATAGCCATTATGGGGCTATGGCTGTAAGAGTGTTGGTGCCTAGGGATGTTTTAGCCATTGCTGAGCAGGGCTTGCACAGTGCCAAGGCCTTTTGTGCCACTCACCCCACCCACCAGTCAGAGGCTGGGGGTGCACAAGGAGGTGGGAGGGGACACAGCTGGGACAGTGGACCCCAAGTCAGCAGAGGGAATATCCCACACCATATGGTGTCATGACCAGTGTATAAAGCTGGGGGAAGAAAAAGGAAGGGGATTATATGGATTAATGGTGTTTATCTTCTCAAGTCACCATTGCACGTGATTTTGCTAGCCTTTCCTGGACTGACTGGATACTTGCCTGCCCATGGGAAGTGGTGGATAAGTTCCTTGTTCTGCTTTGCTCACATGTGTGGCTTTTGCTTTCCCTGTTAAACTGTCTTTGCTTCAACCCACGAGTTTCTCACTTTTACCCTTCTGGTTCTCTCCCCTGTCCCACAGGGGAAGAGTGAGTGAGCAGCTGTGTGGGGCTGGAGTTTGTTGGAGTCTGGAATACAGAGTGTGTGCCCTTGTTTCTGATACTTAGTTCTAAGATCCAGATAAACACTGAATTTCATATAATATGAAAATCATGAGCATGTGTTCATGGTGATACATGAAAACGAATGTTAAAGTTAGATGGAAAAAGCTAAAAGTGTGAGTGTGTAGATTAGAAAGTATTTTTAAATCACTGGGTGAAAAAGTTAGTTTAGAGAACAGGAGACAAGATGGAGGATTTAGGGTGTTGTCTCTTGTCCCTTTTTCTTTCTTCTTCATGTTCTTCTCCTAGCGGTTTTTGGGTAATAGTAAGTGATTGGACAGAGAATGCCTGTTTGTACCATCAGAAGAAAGAAATGTACCAGACTGCAAAGATTAACCTTGTGCAGGTAGTCTGGAGAGACCTGCCAAGTTTTGTGATGACCTTTTAATAAACACAAGAAACAAGATTCTAACGAGCTCGGGAGTTTTCTTCAAATCAGAAGAACTGAGATAAGCAGGGCTCCCCACGAGGGAAGATCCCAAAATAATTCAGTCCAAAGGAGGCTGAGAAATCCAAGAATAAAAAGAAAAATACAGAAGAGATGCTGCAGAAACAGAGAAACAGAAAAAGGATTTTTTAGAGAAAAGTTGCTGAGTTCAACCATGGCATTCAGAAACATGGTATTTTAACCAGGAATATTAGGGAAGGAGAGGGATATCTAGGTGAAATATGACTTCCCTTTCCATTACAGATTGCTCTGAAAGATATGGTAGTGTCATTGCTAGTGAGAGCTGGTTTTGAGCCTGTGTTGTGCTAATTTTATCAAATACCAAAACCTTCTAACACTGGTACTTAAAATGGGCAAGAAATATGTAAAGCAAATATGTTTCATTCATGTGCAATCTGATCCTCACTAAACGTACCAAAATTCTCTTCTCTACGAGAAATCTTTTGTGTATAAGGAAGATGGTGATAACGTGAA